AGCGGCCGCGTGAACTGGGTGGCGTTGAACGGCGTCAGGTAGTTGCTCTTGATGACGTAGCCCATGGTGACGGCCTGGTGGGGCAGGTCCACGGGGATACCGAAGCCCATGATGACCTGCACCTTGGCGCCCGTCGGGGTGAAGATGAGGTTCCTGGCGTGGCGGCCCCTGCCCGCGGCGGGCGCCGGCCAGGCCGCGCACAGGGCGGCCAGCAGCAGCAGCAGACGCGGGACCAGCACCATCTTCCTCTCGGCGAGTAACTGCGCTACCAGCCGCCGGGGGTGCGGAGGCGTAGGGGTCCCCGTTGATCGGTATCGGCATCAGACCCGTCCTCCCCCTGCCCCGCGCCCCCGGGGACGCACAGTTGAGGGCAAGGACCGGGGCGGCCGCTGGCGATTAGCACCCGGGTCCGACACGGCACCGGTACCCGGGCCCTACCAGCGGTACCCAGGTGCCGGGCCGGCCGCGGCGCGCGGGGCAGTAGCATTACGCTCGCCGAACAGGATGACCAGGATGGCCGCGCTGCGCTGCAGAGACCCCCACGGCGTGTCGCCGGCGCCGCTGCTAGCGCTGGCTGCCCTGGCGCTGGCGGCCCTCCAGGAGGCCCACGCCGTGGCCATCGCCCCTCCGCCCACACACGTCGGCTACAGCCAGTTTCTCCTGTTTCCTCAGAGAAGCTCGGGCATGGGGGTGAGTATGGGAGGCGTGGGCTCGACTTAGTGTCGCATACAGCACAGCGAGACGGGGAGGGGGTAGGGTGAGGCCTTGGGGGTAGCGGGGCCTCGACCTCAGGGGGCTAGGGTGGGTGAGCGCAGACAACACAAAGACCCACGGTGAAAATAAACCTTGATGTACTGTTGCGGGGCGGGGGTGGGGGTGGACATGAAAGTCCCAGTGCTGCAGCGAGGGCTAAGAATAGGCAGGCAAGCCCCCGCCACGGCGGCGCCCCGTGCGAAGGTCCCGTCCTGGCCCTGCCCCCGGCGAAGGCCGTGCGCCCAGTTGTTGTGGGGGTCAGTGGATAAGGGTGGGGCAATCACACCAACAAACCGCCTGCGTGCTCAGGTATGTGGAGGTGCTCGCCGATCGGTGAGAAAATCGGTCTGCTGCTCTGTTGAGTGTGTGTGTAGTGTTTTATATTTGGTTTATTATTTCCGGGCGGGTTGTTTTTTTTTTTTCGGCAAGCAAAACAATCTCCATGCACGCGCACAGTTCCATTTTCGCGGCCGTACTTCTCATCAGCTTTTGGTCGGTCGATGGTGCATGGCGCCCGGCTCGCCCGCCCGGTAGGCACCGTAGGCAGGCGCCCCAGCAGTGCGTTCGGTCTTTCGCGTCCCTCACTGCAGCGGCGCCGCCGCGGCCTCGCGCAGCAATTAAAAGGGCATTCTGCTGCAGTCGGCCGCCGACAGCCGACACCACCCTCCCACCGGCGCCGCGCATCGCGTGTCGAGCCGGCGTTTTGCAGCTCTCGGTCTCGCAGATCCTACATTTTAATAAAATAATAAATAACCTCCCCCACACAAAAAAATAGGTTGCGCGCGCGGTGTTAACTTGTTCGCGCCATCATAACGGTGTGCAGCACGACGCGGTGGTGCAGCTCGGTGTGAGTAGCCGGAGCCGTGCCGTGCCACACGGCCGCTCCCTTTCTGACCCTCGGCCCCGCCCTGCCCGCAGATGTTTCTGGCGCTCTCCGTGCCCCTCGACTCCATCCACCACGACGTGAGTCTGGCCTACAACTTCGAGGCCAACTACATGCTGCCGAGCAACGCCACCGCGCTCAGCGAGCTGGAGGCCCAGTACGGCTTCCGGCGAGCGCTGGGCGCGGACCCGGGACCGGCGGAGACCGCCGAGGCCCGGCGCGCGGCCCGCGCGCTCAGGGACCTGGGCAGGGCCGACGTGTACGGCATGATTATGGGGAGCATCTCGAGGTAAGGAGCGGGTTGGGATTGGAAATTTCCGAAAATTTCTAGAAACTTTCCAGGTCTTCCAACCCTAGAGCGGGCCAGCTCGGGCCGGTCGTGGTCCGTGGTGATGCACTCTCCTCTCCAACCATCTCTCTCTGGTTCACAGGGCGGGGCTGCCGGGTCGGGCGTGTCTGCTGCGCGCCGTGTGCGAGGCCTCCGAGTGGCCCATGGTGGAGGGGCTGCTCGGGAACATGCTCACCGTCTTGCTAACGTAAGTAGCTCTTAACTTGACCAACATTGCCACACTGTTATTGAAATTGTTGACAAAACCTTTCTTTCTCCGGCTCTCTTTAGACCCTCCACGTCGGCGGACGACGGCGAGCTGCACCCTGCCTTCCACGCGGCGGAGCGGAGGGGCAAGCGGGGAGCGGACTGCGCCGTTCACTACAAGGGCTGCCCCGTAAGCCTGCTCGGACTACTCACGGAACAACAACAATAAAGCGACAAAAAAAAAACAACCCGCGCTTCTTTTCACGCTACCCGTCGTCTAAAAAAAACGTCGCAAACGACCGTGACGAGCGCAGCTAGTTCGTACATTAAAGCCGCTTTTCGTCGACTTCCAAGATGACTTACGGCCCGCGCAACGCGGCACGCTGGCCGTAGTTAGCATGCAATTGTCGCCCCCCACCCCCCATCTTTTTTACCACCTTCCAACCCCTCACCTTCACCGACTGAATGCACCCCGCGTGTGACGTGCGGACTGCGCCACGAACTACTTTGGCTAAAGAGGGAGAGCACGTCTTCTAGACCTACAGAAAAATTGCGTTCTATTAGTATTCAAGAGAAATCACTTTTCAAAATATTTAGTGAAAAGACCCAATGGCGGACTAGTAGCAGGCAAGTCTTCGCTTTATCCATCGAATGGCATGTTATGACCGAGGGTAAACAAGCGATCGTCCAGGAAGTACGTCAGTATTTCACAAATACATTCTGGCAAAAGACGGGAGCTCGGCGCCTGCGAGACTCGAGGTAGGCCAGCCCGCAATACACGCATGCACTGTATGCGAGATGTTGTCTACCTACCAGGCGCTTCGAGAGCTCGCAGAGGTGCAACTTGGCAGGTTCGTAACTGCGAATGACGGATGATACATTCTGTATGATCCCTAAGGAGGAGGAGGAG